GCTTGTGCATAATAGGGGGTAGAATTAACAAGGCTAATTCCAAACTCTGCCACAAAAGACTTCACCATTTCCCCATCAAATACAGTCCTATTATCGACAGTTATAGTCTGGGAGATACCAAATCTGTGGATCAAATCTTTAATGAATCCAATGACTTCAGTCTGGTATACTTATATGGCTTAGCCTCGACCCACTTAGTGAAGTAATCTGTGGCCACTAAGATGAAACAATGATGCTTCGAAGAGGGTGGGTGTACTTTTCCTATCATATCTATAGCCCATCCTCTAAATGGCAAAGGCTTCATAACCACATGCAAATCAATTATGGGTACATGCCTTATTGTGCCATGCCTTTGGCATGCCTGGCAACCTCTAGCATGTTCTATGCAGTCCTTAAGGATGGTTGGTCAATAGTGGGAATGTCTTCGAAGTAGCCATCTCATCTTCACACCAGGCTGATGAGCACCACAGATGCCTTCATGAACTTCAACCATGGCTGTTAACGCTTCCTTTGGACCTAAACATTCCAATAATAAACCATCTGTCCCCCTTTTGTAGAGAGCATTACCATATATTATGTACTGCATAGATTGCAATTTGATTTTTCTGCTGGCTTTCGAAGATGGGCCAACTAGATACTACATTATTGGATGCCTCCAATCTTGTTCTTGTAAGTCATTATGATTGGCTTTCAGGACCACATTCCTTTTATTTAAAGGTGGTATTACTTTCTGATATGTTGTTTGGCTTATGTCCCTTTGAGTATTATCCCCTCTCTTGAAATTCGAAGCTTTCTGAGCCACATCATTAGCTTTATTATTCAAGAATCTTGAGACATAAGTTACATTTGCTATCTGAAATTGAGAAAACAGATGTAATGCAACAACATAGTATGGCAACATGCTTACACTTTGACATTTGAAAATCCCTTTCACTTGGTTAACTACCAATTGAGAATCCCCAAATATGTCAACCGTATGAGCTTGTAATCCAATAAATATTTCCAGTCCCATTATTAAGACTTCATATTCAGCTTGATTATTGGAACAAGTAATTTCGTCCACTCTAAAACCATGTGTGGTTTCTACCCCTTGTGGTGACTTGATTTCCACACCAATTCCTGTTAGACGATTAGCTTTTGATCCATCGAACCACATTTGCCATGGTTCAACACTAACCATACCAAGCTCCATTTTCTCTTGGCTCTCTGTTTGACATGGATGGCCTGCCAAAAAATTGGCCAAAACTTGTCCTTTTACTGCCTTTTGGGGAATATATTCTAAATGAAATTATGATAAAGCTAGTATCCATTTGCCAATTCTTTCCCTCAACATGCGTCTAGATAACATATATTTAACCAAATCCGTGGTTGCAATTACCAAGACAGTTGTAGGTAAAAGATAGTATCTTAATTTCACTGCAGCAAAATACAATGCAAGGCATAACTTTCTACAGCTGAATATTTACATTCACAAGAATTTAGAAACCTACTAAGGTAATAAACAGCTTGCTCCTTGCCTTCCTCATTGTCTTGGGCTAAGAAGACTCCCAATGAATCCTCTGTTGCAGCTATGTACAACTTCAAAGGCTTATCACCCTTTGGTGGCATCAGCACTGGAGGGTTGGCCAAGTAGGCTTTGATTCCTTCAAAAGCAGTTTGATGCTCTATTACCCATACATCCTCTTCATCCTTCAGCCTTAATAAGGATGAAAATGCATTAGTTTTCCCTGCAGTATTAGAAATGAATCTTCGAAGAAAAATAACCTGTCCATGGAATTTTTGTAATTCTTTCTTACTTGATGGAGGTTTGGCTTCAATGATAGCTTTGGCTTTGCTCTGATCAATCTGTATTCCCTTCTTGTGTACTACATAGCCCAAGAAGTTTCCGGCTGATATGCCAAAAGCACATTTGAGGAGATTAAGTTTCAAGTTGAACCTTCTCATTCTTTCAAAGGCTGCTTCCAAGTGAAATAAATGTTCCTCCATGGATTGAGACTTTACTACAATATCATCAATGTAACACTCTAAATATCCGGGAGGCCATTGGCCAAAAATCATGGTCATCGGCAAAGATAAACAGGTCATCGACCAAATATGAAGCCATCGGCCAAACACCTGTAGCCGGCTAGCACTGAAGATAGCCGATCTGCCATCTATTACTGCAGACTGCTCCTTTTGCTGCAGCAAAGGACAAATGGAGTATGGCAATGCATTTACAAGACAATGTTTACAACTACACCCCTTATCATGTTTTAGGCTCAAAGGAGTGTAGTTCTCGACCCTCGGGCCACCAATCACGCATTCCAATGCATGACGGCCAAAGGAGCCAAGTGTGCAATTCAATATCAAATAAAATGCACAAAAACACATAAGGGGGCCTCAACCTCTATCATGCTTGATCAAGAGGCAAGGCAATGCACACACAATGCAATGCAACATAAGCATGCATGCAAGCAAGCATGCAAACAACTCAAGCATGCAACAACATGCAACAATATCATGCAATGCAACTAATATGCAATAGGCATACAACCTAAACATGTAAAGATGCATGGCATGCAACAACATGTAAAATGAAATAAGCATGCAACAACATGCAAAAACATACCAAGCATGCGAAATGCAACCTAAGCATGCAAACATGCAAGGTATGTAACAATATGCAAGGCTGGGCAAGCATGCAACAACATGTAGTGCGACAAGCATGCATCAACACACAAACCACATTTGCCATGGTTCAACACTAACCATACCAAGCTCCATTTTCTCTTGGCTCTCTGTTTGACATGGATGGCCTGCAAAAAAATTGGCCAAAACTTGTCCTTTTACTGCCTTTTGGGGAATATATTCTAAATGAAATTCTGATAAAGCTAGTATCCATTTGCCAATTCTTTCCCTCAACATGCGTCTAGATAACATATATTTAACCAAATCCGTAGTTGCAATTACCAAGACAGTTGTAGGTAAAAGATAATATCTTAATTTCACTGCAGCAAAATACAATGCAAGGCATAACTTTCTACAGCTGAATATTTACATTCACAAGAATTTAGAAACCTACTAAGGTAATAAACAGCTTGCTCCTTGCCTTCCTCATTGTCTTGGGCTAAGAAGACTCCCAATGAATCCTCTGTTGCAGCTATGTACAACTTCAAAGGCTTATCACCCTTTGGTGGCATCAGCACTGGAGGGTTGGCCAAGTAGGCTTTGATTCCTTCAAAAGCAGTTTGATGCTCTATTACCCATACATCCTCTTCATCCTTCAGCCTTAATAAGGATGAAAATGCATTAGTTTTCCCTGCAGTATTAGAAATGAATCTTCGAAGAAAAATAACCTGTCCATGGAATTTTTGTAATTCTTTCTTACTTGATGGAGGTTTGGCTTCAATGATAGCTTTGGCTTTGCTCTGATCAATCTGTATTCCCTTCTTGTGTACTACATAGCCCAAGAAGTTTCCGGCTGATATGCCAAAAGCACATTTGAGGAGATTAAGTTTCAAGTTGAACCTTCTCATTCTTTCAAAGGCTGCTTCCAAGTGAAATAAATGTTCCTCCATGGATTGAGACTTTACTACAATATCATCAATGTAACACTCTAAATATCCTCCAATGAGGTCATGAAAAATAGTGTCCATAGCCCTTTGATATGTAGCCCCAACATTCTTCAAACCAAATGGCATTTTAACCCATTCGAAGGTGCCAATATTCCCAGGGCATCTGAATGCTGTCTTGTGGATATCCTCCTCTGCAATACAGATTTAGTTATAACCAGAGTGCTCATCCATCATTGATAAAATTTGATGCCCTACTGAACTGTCTACTAACAAGTCTACTATAGGCATTGGATACTCAACTTTTAGGGTTGCTAAATTCAGGTTTCTGAAATCGATGCATATCCTCATTTTACTATTCTTCTTAACTACAGGTACAATATTGGATAGCCATTCAACGTACCTGGCTGTTCTAAGAAAGCCTGCCTTGAGGAGCCTAAGAATTTCCTCCTTGACCTTCTGAATCACCTTAGGGCTCATTCTTCTTGGTTTCTGCTTGTATGGCTTGAAATTAGGCCTCATTGGGAGCCTATGTTCTTCTAATGAGCTATTCAATCCTGGTAGTTTATTATAAGACCATGTAAAACAATCTTTGTATCTCTTCAAGACCACCAACAACTGGTCCCTGTCAAGAGCATTCAACCAAGCACTTATATAGGTGGGCTGATGTACAGAACCTTTCCCTAAGTCCACTTCTTCCAAGGGGTCTTGTATCTGAGAACTTACAGATGCTCCTTCTTTGACTCCTTCTGACTTCGAAGCAATCTCCTTACTTTGTCCTGCTCCCAGTTTCTTTGATTCAACATCTTTACCCTCCTCCTCATAGACAAAGTCTGTCCACAAGGCTTCTTCCTCCTGTATCTCCTGGACTTTTGTTTCATTGTCCAAAGCACAGTATTTATCTAAAGCAAAAAATCTGACTTATTGTTGTTCCTTCTTACAGCCATTTATCATGGCCTCTTTCTCTTGCTCTTGCACTTTTTGGACTATTGATTTCACATCCAATACTGAGAACTTAATTAAAGCCAAAGATTTGGCCTCCAGGGTTCCAAAGATTTTTCCAAAATTGCCGTGCCACTTACACAACTAACTCGAAAGGGAGTTGCATTTGAATGGTCAGAAGAGCGGGAATCTGCTTTCCAAGAATTGAAGACGAGGTTAACCACAGCTCCAGTTCTGGCTTTACCGTCTGGTACCGAAAGGTTTGTAATTTACAATGATGCGTCCCATAAAGGATTAGGGTGTGTGCTTATGCAAGGTGGAAGGGTTATCGCCTATGCTTCACGACAACTTAAACCCCATGAAAAGAATTATCCCACGCATGATCTTGAGCTCACGGCAGTAGTTTTTGCTTTAAAGATATGGCTGCACTATTTGTATGGCACTACTTGTGAAGTGTACACCAACCACAAAAGTCTCAAATACCTTTTTACCCAGAAGGAATTGAATATGCGGCAGCGTCGGTGGTTAGAGTTGATTAAAGACTACGATTTACAGATCCATTATCACCCTGGTAAAGCCTACACGGTTGCAGATGCTCTTAGTCAGAAAAATATGGGAGATTTGGCTAACCTGGTTACGGAACAAAAGGAATTGATAAGTGAATTGGATAAAATGAATGTGGAGCTTGTGATACATGGACAGGAGGTAGTATTAGCAGTAGTAATGGCCCAACCGACTTTACTTGAAGAGATCAAGTTACATCAAATGGAGGATGATACTCTAAAAAAGGTATGTGATGAGTTTGAGACAAAACCAAAACCGGGGTTCAGTTTAGTGGATTCAGTCCTCAAATTCCAAAATCGAGTATGTATCCCCAATGTGTTGGAGCTTAAACGGAAATTGATGGAAGAAGCACATGCCTCAAGATTTTCTATGCATCCGGGAAGTACCAAAATGTACCGAGACTTGAAACAAAATTTTTGGTGGCCAAACATGAAAAAGGAGATTGCAGAATTCGTTTCCAAGTGTTTGCAATGTCAGCAAGTGAAAGCGGAGCATCAAAGACCAGCAGGATTATTACAACCCCTTCCAATCCCGGAATGGAAGTGGGAACATCTAACCATGGATTTTGTTGTGGGGTTACCACGGACACCTCGGGGTATGAATTCTATATGGGTCATTGTAGACCGGTTAACTAAGTCCACTCATTTTCTACTAGTGAAAACTCAGTACAATGCGGATAAACTGGCGGTACTCTATGTGAACGAAATTGTGAGGCTTCATGGCGTTCCAGTCTCAATTGTATCAGATAGAGATCCAAAGTTTGTTTCAAGATTCTAGCAAGGTTTGCAGGAAGCAATGGGTACAGAATTAAAGTTTAGCACAGCCTTCCATCCGCAAACAGATGGACAATCCAAGAGAAGGAAACCCATCTACCGTTGGTAGAGTTTGCGTACAATAATAGTTACCATTCGACTATTGAAATGGCACCCTATGAAGCCCTGTATGGAAGACCGTGTCGTTCTCCCGTGTGTGGGGCTGAAGTAGGAGATAGATCATTGCTAGGGCCTAAAATTGTGCAGTTGACAACTGAGAAGGTTAAAACTATCCGGGAAAGGTTGAAAACTGCTTGAAGTAGGCAGAAAAGTTATGCGGATAACCGGCGAAGGGATTTGGAATTTGAAGTTGATAGTCATGTCTTTGTAAAGGTCACTCCGATGAAAGGACATCCAAGATTCGGGAAAATGGGTAAGTTAACACCCCGATATGTTGGTCTCTTTCAAATTTTAGAAAGAGTGGGTCCAGTAGCTTACCGGGTTGCCCTTTCGCCACATATGAGTCAAGTACATAATGTGTTTCATGTCTCTATGCTTCGTGGATACCTTCCGGATCCATTACACGTCATTGATTACCACCGAATTGAGTTGGATGACAAGCTAACTTATGAGGAAAAACCAATCCGTATATTGGACAGGCAAGTGAAGCAATTACGAAATCGAGAAATTCCAATGGTAAAAGTGGAATGGCAAGAACATTACGGAACCGACGCGACTTGGGAAAGAGAGGAGGAAATGCAACACCAGTATCCACATTTGTTTCTACCCTAAGGTAAAACAAGTTTGGAGGACCAAACTTATTTAAGGGGGGGAGAGTGTAATAACCTGACCCTCGTGTATGTTTTCTGATATATTTTCAGACCCTATTCTGTGTTTTTGAATGCTTGTTATGAAATTCCATGATAAATTGAGGCTAAGTAAGTAAACCCCAAGTTTAAGGATATTCATCTGTTCAACAAGGGAAAATATCTGTTACATCTCTAAGTTAGAAGCAGAAATTGGAAGCCTTAGGGGCTTAATTAACTGAAATTGAGTATATATATATGATCAGCATAATTTTTATATAATATTAAGCATGTTTGGGAAATTGCAATTTCGGATGTTTGAACGATTGATTTTTGTCTTTATTCAATATATGTATATATATATATGTCTATGAGAAGCCTCTTTGAAGAAGACTTAGGAATTTCTCATAAAACCCCCTTCCGCAATTTCGGATGTTTGAACGATTGATTTTTGTCTTTATTCAATATATGTGTATATATATATATATATATATGTCTATGAGAAGCCTCTTTGAAGAAGACTTAGGAATTTCACATAAAACCCCCTTGGGAGACAAATGAAGGGAAGAGTGGAACAAAGAAGGATTGAGTGAGAGAAGACCTAGAGGGGAAACTTCAACAAGATTAGAGATTGAATGATCTAGAGAGAATTGGAAAGATCTAAGCTTAAAAGTAAGTTCTTTAGCTTCTCTAACTCCTCTCTCGAATTTGAGTGTGATTCCATCATAATTGCACAACCTGGACTTGGAACATGCTTTTGAATTGGATGATTTTGAACTAAGTTGTCTATGCATATATATGTGATGTTGAATGCATAAGAAAGTTTAGTTATGTTTGAGAATCAAGAATCTAGTTTATGTCTAGATTGATATGTATGTATTTGGAGATCCTATTAACATGAGTTTTAGGTTATGTTTTATTGATTAAACATGTTAATTTGAGTCTTGTGGAAGTGTCCCAAAAGAGTGTGATTTTGAAGCAAAATTCGGACTGAAATTGCAGAATCGCCGCACGTGCGGGATTCATGGCCGCACGTGCGGGAGCCAATCGCCGCACGTGCGGGGGTTGTGGCCGCACGTGCGGGAGAAGAACAAATTTGGGGTTTTGATTCTGCCTAAAAGGCACGTGCGGGACTAGCCGCCGCATGTGCGGGGATCCCAGCCGCATGTGCGGCACATGGGGGAAAATACGGGTTTCTCCGTTTTACGTGTTGAACCCTCAGATATTTTTAGAATTTGCATTTTATGCCTACTAACATGTGTAAAATTCATTCGAAGTGAATTGAACCAAGAGAGGATTTAACAAAGAGAAGTGAACTAATTTGTAAGTTTGAATCTGTGCAGGGCACACTACGAGAGGAACAAGCACGTCATCACAACACTGTGAGTAGTAGTAACCATTATATGCTTCAAATGTAGCTAGTGATTGTCATAAGTATTATGTTTATGCCTGAAATGCAAGTATGCTATGTTTCAATGTATGTAAAGAAAGAAATGGGAAAAATGAGAAACGTTCATTCAGTAAGACTCTAAAGCCAAGTTATTCTATTATTATAATATGAAACAAAGTGCTACACGGAACTAAGTGCTACGATGTGAGTCACCTCTAGAGTCCGTGTGAGACACCTCTTGAGTTCATACAAGCATGATTCAAGGGCTTAATGCCACATGATTCAAGGGCTTAACGCCAATTTACTCAAGGGCTTATTGCCAACTTTTGTAAGGGCCTCGTGCCACTATGTTCAAGGGCTTAACGCCACCATATTTAAGGGCCTTGTGCCATTACGTCGAATGGCTTATAGCCATCATGTTTCAAGCTACCATGTTTCAAGAATGGTCCAAGGCCGTCATGGAATTAATACGGATTCAGACCAACTATGTGTGTATCTTTTTATGCTTTGATGTAGTATATTTCAAGTCGAGCACTGTTTTATTTATGTATTACTATTCACTGAGCCTGGCTCACTTTGTGTTATGTCTGTTTCTGTAGGTAACCAACCAGGTGGTCAGTCCTAGCCCTAACACCCGTTTTCTTTTGTCAACCTTCGCGGGTCCAGGCACTGCATGAAGCCATTTATTTTTTTAAAGTTCATTAAGATATTGGCTTGCCTTTGATTACCCATTTAAGGTTGAATGTATAGAACTTCAATGACTTTCGTATAAGCCCATGATGGGCTGGGACTGTATGTATGTTTATATATAACTGATGCTACGAGATATAGCTTGGAACTTTATTTATTTTCTATTGTGCTTGTGATGCATGTGAGGTCCTGGCATGTAGATATAGCTCAATGGAGATTATATGTATCGTTATTTTCTTATTATATGCTTCCGATAAGGCCCCGTATGTTATATACAACAGGTTAAATGTTCGTTTTCAAACGGGTCATGCCCAAACTTGTAGGGGCGGGTTTGAGGGCGTGACAGGGCCATAATTGACCTCTTTCGAATGAGAGCTGCTTAGTCAGTGGTCTCATGAACCAATTCTGGCACAAGCATGGGTGAATCCCCCTCCTCGGTCCAACACACCGGTGATCCACATGGATGCCCATAAAAGGCTTCAAAAGGTGACACCCCAATGCTAGATTGAAAGTTATTATTGTAGGCAAGCTCCGCTAGAAGCAAGTGTCTATCCCAAGAATCCATGAAGTTTAATATGCAAGCTCTCAACATATCTTCCAAAATTTGGATAGTGCGCTTGGATTGCCCATCGATTTGTAGGTGATAGGCGATGCTAAATATAGCACTCTGTACTTCTTGTTATAATGGAATTATATTTGACTCTTTGATTATATTGATTGGGAGCCTTCTTAGTCAATATTTGAGCCTTGGTTGAGGTGTTACCATAGTGGTTAGGTGAGGCTAAATCAAAAACTCAAAATTTGAATAGTTGTTATTGAGTAGTCTTCACTCTTTTATCATTTTGTCCCTTAACACTATGAATCTTGATGTCAGAATAGAACCATTGGAAATCTTACTTCTGGGGCTTCAATTTGGACACAAGAACGACCCTAAACGGAGTTTGAACGAGAGAGTTATACCTGTTTGAAAATTGTGTATTTGTGTTGTGAGCATAGTGTGCTCGAGCGCAACTTTAAACGCTCGAGCGTACAGCACAGAATCATATCTTTAAAAGCCACTTTTTCGATCAAATCACTTCACTTTTCACTCCCTCTCTCTCCTTCCGTCATTTTTGCTTTCTCAAGCTTTTTAGGCTTGATTTCATCTATTTCCATACATCTTTGACCCTTAGTTCCATATACCAAAACGTAGAGCACGACGAGGGCTTCCATTTAATCTTAACCGATTGTTGTTTCATCGCCGGTGATTTTTTCGACTTGTTTCCTTCTTACTTCAAGAGGTAGGGTCTATTTCTTAAACTCAATATGAGTTTGGTATTGTATTTGTGGTGTATTCTAAATATGTTGATCCCATTGTTCTTGGATTGATTTTTGATAACTTGTTTGTAAGTTAGGGTTTGTTCCAAATGGGATTGTTGAGCTATGGTTTAGCTACAAAAGTTTATTTTCCACTTACAAAGAATGTATATGAGTTTTTAAATGTAAAAAGCCCTAATTTGGAGAAACCCTAAAATGTTGGTCTTTTTGGAAAAATGTCAAATTATCAAATCGAAATGTAAAAAAGGGGTTTCTAAATGTTTTCTTGAAAAATGTTGTGATTATGAAATTAGAGTTGATATATGTTGAAATGAACTATTTCTTGCATCGAAATGGATTTTCAAAGAGGAAAAGGATTATGCCCTAAAATTTAAATGTTGAGATTGTAAAGAGGAAATGGATTAAATGTTGAGAAATATGAAATTGAAATGATGGTTAATGATGATGGTGGAGTTTGATATGTATTATCACTACCAATTGAGATTTTGGAAAAGTATACCTTTAATGAAATTTATTTATTTGTTTAGAGATATTTGTTTTGGGCTATCGGTGGAGGATAACTATGATTGTTGTAGAAATTGCATGTTGACTAGGCAAACTGGACTGTTTATAAATCTTGCATATCATGGAACATGCAATGGATTTGGAGGATTTAAATTGTATGACTGCATGTTTTGGAAAGAGAATTTGAAAATTCTTGTGTTATGTTTTAAGAGCATTTGTTTCATTTTGAAAATTATATTTTGGATCACATGCATTGTGTTATTTGGAAAGAGTAAATAAAATGATAAATTTGAGAAGTGGTTGTCATTGAATATGATTATGTGTTTTAATACATTGTACATGTATGATGTTTGGGAGAAGAAAGGGGATGTACTCTATTATTGGGAGAAGAAAGGGGATGGACTCCATTGAATTAAGTTGGCCTGTGTGTCCAAGGTGAAAGTCCCGAAAATTGCGCATATATATGGGTGCCGATCCCGCAGACGAAATTTCTGTAAAATGGCAAATTGTAGTGCTTGTATAGCCTACGTTTACATGGGTCCTGTTTGACGATTTCTTGCGGACGGAATTTTTGTGAAAGATTGTATTGGTTTAGGAGATTTACCTATTTTATTTATTATCATTTTGGTTTTGGAAAGAAATGATTCTAAATGGTTTTAGCAATGTGTTTGTTGTTGGTTAACGATATATTCGTATTGGAATTGGCAATGAAATTGCTAGTTGTTATTGAGACACCTGGATTGACTTATGGAAATGGATTGTCTTATATCAAACTAATGTATTGAATTCGAAAAACGTTTTGAATAAACGAAAGGTTAGGAAGACTGGAAAGAAAGGGTTTTTATTAAGAAAGAAAGTGAACTGGAGAATGCATTGAGCATATAATATATGTATATATTGCATTCATGATCATTTACACTAGTGGAGCATATTTAGTTTTTGAAATATTTCCTACTGGGCTTTATGCTCACCTTACGTGGCTGAAAATATTTTTCTGGTATGCTTACGAGGATGTGGACTGAGATGTTGAAGTTGCGTTTGGAACTGTGTAGGGTGGTTCCTTTATTTGTCGGCCAAGGGCCATT